AGGTGGTGGGAGACAGGATCTTTGGTCATTACCCAAGATTCACCCTAGAGGTGACTTGCCAATTTCAAGAGTACAATCTACTTTCACGAAGGCAAATGCTGACGGTCAACAGTTCCACCGAGGGGGCAAACTCAGCACCTTTAGAGCCAGCCCACGCTGGTGTTGTGCCTCCTGACGCGATGCAATGGGAAGTATCCATTATCACCTATGCAGTATTTTTTTCCAGATATGTTTAACCTGCATTTAACCAAGTCTTTAGACCCAACCTCCAGTGCACAGGAAATTCAATAGCCGGAATACAGAGGTAATGACACTACAAGGAAACAATCAGACGTGTGGGATATTTTACAAGACAAACTGGCCTAGTCTCTTCAGAAAATCAATATGATAATGGAAAGCAGATCAATGCTTGCCTGGAACCAGGAGCAGAGAAGGTATGACTGCAGAGGGACAAAACAGAGCTTTCCGGGTGATAGAAATCTGTGTTTCGATTGGGATGATGGTTACATTGGTGTACACAATTGTTAATACTAATCAATAGTACACTTACTGTGACTGAATTTATTACATATATGTTATACTTTGATACAGTTGATTTTTAAAACAAAAACAAGTGATCAGTGTCACACAAAAAAAGTGAGGCCAATGGTCCATATTTAAATCAACTAAAGAGGGGCACCTGGGTGGCTCAGTTAAGTGTCCAACTTCGGCTCAGGTCATGATCTCCCAGTTCATGGGTTCGAGCCCCGCGTTGGGCTCCGTGCTGACAGCTCAGAGCCTGGAGCCTGTTTCAGATTCTGTGTCTCCCTCTCTCTCTGCCCCTCCCCTGCTCATGTTCTCTCTCTCTCTCTCTCTCCCTCTCTCTCTCTCATAAATAAACATTAAAAAAGTCTAAAAAATGAAATAAAATAAGTCGACTAAAGAGTCATTATAACCAGATATAAGAGAAACTTGCTTAGATCCAAGCTTGAAAAAAGGGACAACTGGGGCGCCTGGGTGGCTTAGTCGGTTAAGCGTCTGACTTTTGCTTAGGTCATGATCTCGCGGTTCATGGGTTTGAGCCCCGCGTCGGGCTCTGTGCTGACTGCCAGCTCAGAGCCTGGAGCCTGTTTCAGTCTGTGACTCCCTCTCTCTCTGACCCTCCCCTGCTCAAGCTGTCTCTCTCTCTCTCCTAGAAATAAATAAAACATTAAAAAAAATTAAAAAAAAAGAAAAAAGGGACAACTAAGAAAGGTATTTTGGGGATAATGGGGGGAATTGAAACATAAACTAGATATGAGATTATATTGAGAAACTTTAAAATTTTTCTTCTGGTTTATGTGAGGTCAATGTTCTTATTGTTAGAAGATGCTTGTTGAATTATTAAGAGAGAAATGTCATGGTGTCTGTAAACTTCATTATTTTTAAGTTTATTTATTTATGTTGAGAGAGAGAGAGAGCGAGCACGTGAGCAGGGGAGGGGCAGAGAGGAGAGAGAGGATCCCAAGCAGGCTCCACACTGTCAGCACAGAGTCCGATGCGGGGCTCAATCCCATGAACCATGAGATCAGGACCTGAAACAAAATCAGGAGCTGGACATTTAACCAACAAACATACCCAGGTGCTCCTGTAGCTTAATTTCTATACTAAAAGATATATATGAATATGTAGGAAGGTAAAGCAGATATAGCAAAAAGTTATCAATAGTTTAACTCAATAGAAAGAATTCACTGATATGTGTTATGCTATGCTTTCAACAGTTTTGTACTTCTGGAATTTTTAATAATAAAAATATGGAATATGGAAAATAGTGAATGCCATCTGAGTGGTGATGGCTTTTGTGGTTTGGGGTCAATGTTCAGAAATCCTGGCCTTTTGGTGAGATTATCTTTTATGTCAAAGATACACCCCTTTCCATTGCTGCTGCTGCTGCTGCTGCTACTTCTTCTTCTTCTTCTTCTTCTTCTTCTTCTTCTTCTTCTCCTTTTAGTTTATTTATTTGTTTTGAGAGAGAGAGAGAGAGAGAGAGCACATGAGCAGGGGAGGGGAAGAGAGAAGGAGAGAGAGAATCCCAAGCAGGCCTTGCACCTCCAGCAGGGCTCGAACTCGTGAATTGTGAGATCATAACCTGAGCCAAAACCAAGAGTCAGATGCTTAACCAACTGAGCCACTCAGGCGCCCCTTCATTACTTCTTCTGAAGGAGAAAGGAGTGAATCCCCAGTGAGCCTTTCATGTAGTACTCTGTGACCTGGAAGGGCTTTGGGTTCGTCCCTCCATCCTTCACTCCCCCCCATCAAAAGCTGTGGGGGTGAATGACTCTGTCAATTGCTTATCAATATTCTCCCATAAGACTAAAAAGAAAAGATAAACTCACTCCTGGAATTTCTCATTAGAGAAGAGAGAATAGAAAAACATGGGTCAAGAAACTTTAACACTTAAAGTTGGATGGAAACGTATGCAATATGCACTTTGAAGGTAGGTGTCCTTCTTAAACGGCAACTAATTGTGGTTCCTGGGGTCCTGGGTGTGGAAGCTCAGAGTTCTTGAATGCGGTAATGTCTATGAAGTCATTTTTGCTAAGGGAAGTGATCTCTATTCAAATTCTCCTCTTCCTAGAGGGTCTAGATCAAATGGCTTCTCCTGCACAAAATCTTTCCAAACTAATCTAACCCGTGGCGATAGCTCCCTCTCCCAGATTCCACGTGCTCTCGTTGCCGGTTTCGGCCTGTCTCATCCTAAGTCGCCTGATACATTATTTAAGTAGTTTGCATTTTTGCATCCTTTTCCCCCAAAGCCAGGATCGGGTTTGATGGCGCTGTCCAGCCCCGATTCCTCCAACATGTCTGTCTCCACCTGCACATACCCACCTGCACTGTAAGTGCTTGGAGGGCAGGGGCTATGGCTAAGCACCTGTGTAGGTAGCCCCAGTGAAAATGAGTAACGGCTTTCTCCCTATCCCTACTGTGGTCTAGAGCACAGGGCACGTCATGGAGGAGCCTTCTCCTTTAAAGTTTCCTTGTTGAGGGGCAGCTGGGTGGTTCAGTCTGTTGGGCATCTGACTTCAGCCCAGGTCATGATCTCACGGTTCATGAGTTCAAGCCTTGCATCGGGCTGTCAACACAGAGCCCACTTCAGATCCTCTGTCCCTTACTCTCTCTCCTCCTTCCATGTGCAAGCACTCTCTCTCTCTCTTTCAAAAATAAAGAAACAATTTTTCAAAAATTTTAAAAACAAAGTTTCCTTGTTGAATGGATCAAGTTACCTGCAATCAGGAAATCTGATAAAGTCTGATAAAGTCTCTGTCTCCGTCTCTTTCGCTCGCTCTCTCTCTCTCTCTCTCTCTTTTTCGCCTGGATACACATATATTTTCTCTCTTACCCTTGGGACTCAGCTAGCATGTTGGGAAGAATCCCAGGATTAAAGAGTAGAGGCAAGCCATGCCCACTATCCCCTGTCCAAATCCCTGATCCACGGAATTCATGAGCAAATAAATGATTGTTTCATGACATTGCATTCTGGGAAAATGGGTTACATAGTCACACTAAACAAAGCATTTTCTTTCCTCCTCACCCTTCTCTACACACCATCTAAACAGGGAAGTACCCTAGGCAGGGTTGTCAAATAAGTTCCTGGATGTTCAATTAAATCTGAATTTCAGATAAATAATAAGTGATTCTTTTAGCATAAGTGTGTCACCAATACTTTGTGGAATATATCCTAAAAATATATTTATTGTTTATCTGGAATCCAAATTCAACTGGGAATCATGAATTAATTAATTATTTATTTATTTATTTATTTTTATTTGCTAAATCTAGTAACCCTTCCCTCAGTCTCCACCCTGGGCTGGTTCTCTATCTACACTCACTACTTAGGAGAGTTTATCTAGTCTGATCTACATCCTGACAGTTCTAAAATTTAAAGCTTTGATTCAGAAATGTATGCTCACTTCCACACTGAAACATTGGACTATCTGCTTGAAAATTCCACTTCTGTAGCTGACAGTCTTCTCAAACCTAAACCAAATGGTTGATTTGCACCCCTTACCCACCCACCCACGCTGCTGTTCCTCAACCCTCCCCATCTTAGTGAAGGGCACCAACGTCCACCCATCTGCTCAAGCCGTCAAGTGGAGAGTCAGCCATGATCCCTCCCCACCTTGGACTCTGTATCCACTCAATCAACAAGTCCTCTTGGCTCAACTGCCAAAACATATTTCCAGCCGATCTCTGTCTCTGTGGGTCCATTATACCCCTCTGGATCAAGCCACACTCTTCTCTCACGTGAACCACTGTACTAGCCACTTACGTGGCTTCCCTGCTTCCCCTCTTACTTCTCCATAACTCTATAATGCATTCTGCACAGAGTAGCTAGAAGGATCCTTTTACAGACACATCATGTAAATCACCTGCTAGAAGTGCTCCAATCATTCCTCATGGCACTAAAAATAAAATGCAAATATCCTTCGAGACCCTTCATAATCCATTTCCTGTATCACTCTGTCCACAGGCCACCCCCTTTCTGTTCCTCAAACACACCGAGCTTCTTCCTCCCCTAGGACCCTTGGGATGTTCTGCCTGAAGAACTACAGCCAGATGCTCATTCTTACCATTTCCTCCTCAAATCTCGCATCATTTCTTCAGTGAGGCCTCCCTTGCTCTGCCCCCACCCCATTGGCTCCCAATGCCAAGTGCAAAGCCCATGGCACCCGCTTTGCTTGATGAGTTTGTACCTGTGCACCATTTCTGTCCTCTCCCTTTTTTTTTTGAATGTTCAAAAAAAAAATATTTATTTATAAAAAATACAATGGGATAAGTTTATGCTGAGAAATGCAGCAATAAATACAGTTGAAGGAAACAGAGCAACTTTACATTGATAAATTGGCACAAACAGGAAAAGCAGACACACCACCCAGACCTGAAAGTCTGCAGGCCCATTTTGTACACGCTCCTTTAGAAACACCACTCTGTAAAGATCTTGTTGGTTTAGGTAAGAGAATGAGTACACATATAATCACAAATGCACACGGATCAGGACTTTATTTAAGAGTTAGCAAACAATACTGTAGAGACATTGATATGTAAATTTCTAAAATGCTGCATCTTAAATTTAGTTGGCAAAGACCACATTTAGCTCTAAGCATGACTTTAGTCTTCCAAGTAGAAACCAGATAACTAAACTGTAAAAAAAAAAAAAAAGCTTCCTATTGTTTGAAAATCCCAGTCTATTAAGTAGATTGTAAAAATGCATAGGTCTTTAATAAGAGAAATGGCTGTACAAGAGTACTCCCCTTTCACAGTATTCCTTTTTTACTTCATATGCGAGTTATTGCTTCTGCTGTAGGATTTAACTGTTAAAGCACTAAAAGGCAACTATTTAGGGAAGAGGCAGAAAAAGGAAAAGGGAATGTATGTAAGGCAATATTTCTTTTAGGTACAATAAGCATAATAGTGTTTTAGGAAGACAAGATAAAAATTACTCAAGGCTAGCTTGGTTCTCACTGAATAAAAACAATGGGCTAAATACTGAGCTCCTCTGTGTAAATCTAATAATCAATGCCTTGGTCGCCATACTGGTAATCTCTGGGGTAGTCATCCTGGTACTCTCCATGATATTCATCTGGGTATTCTGCCTGATAATCACTATCACTAATTTCAGACCCATTTGTTCCTGTTCCTTGGCTTCCATTGTGAATGACAGGTTCTGTGGGAGCAGCACAGTATTTCGGATAATACACTTGCCGCCCAAGCCCATACACACTCATTCCTTTCTGGGAAGCAACTTTGTTGGTTCCCATCTGTAGAGAAATCGTCGAGTTGTCCACTGGTTGTAATGTTAGCTTCTGATCGTAGATGTCTCTTCTGGTACCTGGTGCTAACATCCCCGCCTGGCTGGCTCCATTGTTGGTGCCCATCTGCAGACTAATTGTGCTCTGGTCAAAAGGTTTGTCGGTTTGCATTTTGGGATCATAAAGATGCCTCCTGGTCCCGTAGGCCGTCATGCCTGCCTGGCTGGCGCACTTGTTGGTGCCCATCTGCAAACCAATTACACTTTGGCCAGCTTTTAATTTTCCTTCATCAAAACGTCTTGTTTGTTTTTCTGCATACTTAACTCCAATGTCAATGGTTGTATGGAATCCTTTTGTTTTAGCCAGACCTCCCAGAGCCACCAGCGTAGTCTGAACCTGGGTCATGTTTCCATTCTCAAAAAGATCATTTGCTTCAAAGATGTCGTGTGGCTTCATGCCATAAGCTTGAATAGCCTTAATAAAGTTGCCAATATTCTCCAACTGAGGCCAGTTTAACAAGGACTCGTTAACCTTCTTCACTGAGCCTGGCTGTAGCTTGTTTATGAGTTCGCAAAGGATTATGCCATCTTTTAAGCCCAGCTGAAAGTTGGTGCCAATGCTCATGCCTGTCACCTCTTCTATCCAATTTCGAAGATCTTCTTCGGCCTGATGATCATACTTGGAAGCGATCTTGTTCTTGACCTTGGCCGAGAGCCCTGTCCTCTACCTTTTGATCTTTCTTTTTTTAAAACAGCAGAGAACCAGATTTTGTTACTTTCCTAATCCAATTTGAGTTCTGCTCATTTGTATGTGATTTAACTGTCCACGTTCTATAATGGCTCATACAGGTGGACTTATTTCTACCATATCATTTTTAGTTTTCTATCATGCATTTTTCATGTTTCTTTCTTCTCATTTCCTACTTGTTACTGATATACTTTCTTTATTATCTTATTTTCATCTTTCGGTTTGAAAAATATATACTCGATTCCTACTACTGTAGTGTTACCTTTAAAACTTTTAAGCATGTATAACTTAGCAAAAGTCTAAAGTGAGTATCTTACTCCTTCCTCCCAGAGTATAGGACAAGAACCTCATTAATCTCATGCTAATCATCATCAGTCCTGCTAATGATGCACATTATTATTTTGTTCTAACTTGTCATTAAAATCCCCCAAATCTGCTTTCCTGTGTGTGTTACAGCTAATGCTAATTTAGATTTCTCAACACGTCGACTAGCTCCTTGCCCATCCAACTTTTTGTTTCCCATTCATTCCTTGGGGTCCAATTTTCTTGTGCTGAAAAACATCCTTTGGTGGTTCTTCCGGTGAAGATTTGGGAGAGGAAAGCTCTCTAGGACTCTGTGTCTGAAGATGTTTTTATTGCACCTTAAATCTTGGGCATAATTCACGGGTAAGAAATGCTGGCATACAGTTCTTTCCCTCGGCAGTTTAAAGATGTCATTCCAGTAGCTCAGCATCTATGATTGCTGAGAAGTCTGCTGTCCATCAAAGTATCGGTGCTTTTCGGTCTAGATTTCTAGAGGTTTTGAAGGTTCTGTCTGTGCTTTTGATGTTGTGTCATTATTCTCTGCCTCGTCCATGCGTGGACTTACTTGTATCTATTCTGCTTAAGACCTGGGGTGACCCTTCAATCTAAACTCTCACCTTTTCCCTTTCTTTATTTTTCTTTATTGCTGTGACAATATCTTACAGTCAAGAGTGCCTAGACTGTATACTAATGTAATAAGCACCTGTGTCTCTACCACCAAATTAAGAGCTAGACCTCCATCTGTACCTTAGAAGCCTTTCTGTGCCTTTCCCAGATCACAACCCTCTTCTCCCTCCAATGGGCATCCATACATCTGAATATTAAATCAATAATACCCTTGTTTTTCTCAAAGGAGCTATCACAATTGTTATACACAACTGTGTATTGTTATATACAATGCATTTCTACACAACATTGGTTTCTTTTTTAAACATTGTGTATTATTCTACTTTATATTACCGGAATCATATATTCTCTATTCTTCTATGACTGGCTTTTCTCACTCAACATTATGCTTTTGAGATACAGCCTTATTAACGCACGCAGCTGCAGCTCATTTATTTTAAACCAGGATATAGAATGCCATCGCATAAAAGTTTCAGAAAATAAATATTTATGGAGTGAATGGATACGTGAATAAATAAATATATTCTCACACATTGCCCCATTTTTGACAACTGAATTTTGCTCTGAACATCAATGTTAGTTCTCTCAAAACGATTTGGTTTTTCCCAACCATTGGGCCTAACACAACTTCTATACCACGCCCAGCCCAGTTCCTCAACTGGCCAACCTCATTAGTCAGCAGGAAAATGCAAATTGAAACGATAATGTGACTCCATTTTACACCAGCCAGAAAAGCTCAAGGGAAAATTCCAAATCTTGCCAGGATTCAGAGCCACTGCAACAGCCACCTACTTCTGATTGGGAGTGTAAATTTGAAGACTGTTTTTGAAAACCGAACATAAATCAAATCAAAGCTGAACATGTGTTTACCCTACAACCCAGCAGTTCTACTGCTAGTAGAGACACAACCAAAACGCATATGTATTACATGCAGGGCAATCTCCGATCAAAGCCCCAGGAGGTTATTTTGTGGATATCACAGGCTGATTCTAAAGTTTATATAGAGAGGCAATACAATGTTCAAGAAGAACAGTTTGGAGGACTGACATACAAGCTTCAAGAGTTACTATAAGTAATTATTATTGTTGGCAATCAAAATCATGCGGTATTGGTACAAGAATAGGCAAATAGAAAAATGGTAAAGAGTGGACAGCCCAAGGGCACCTCAGTGGCTCAGTCAGTTAAGTGTCAGACTTCAGCTCAGGTCATGATCTCACAGTCCATGAGTTCAAGGCCAGCATCAGGCTCTGTGCTGATGGCTCAGAGTCTGGAGACTGCTTCAGATTCTGTCTCCCTCTCTCTCTGCCCCTCTCCCCCATGTGCACTCTGGTTCTCTCTCTATCAAAAATAAATAAATGTTACTAAAAGAAGAAGAAGAAGAAGAAGAAAGAAGAAGAAGAAGAAGAAGAAGAAGAAGAAGAAGAAGAAGAAGAAGAAAAAGAAGAAAATGAAGAGGAGGAGGAGGAGGAGGAATGGAGAGCCCAGAAACAAAGCCAAACAAATATAGTCAACTGACCTCTGAAAAAGGGACAAAGGCAATTCATCATAAACAGGATGGTGCTAAAAAAAAAAGATATCTAAACACAGACTTTATACCCTTCACCAAGGTTAACTCAAAATGGATCATACACCTAAATGTAAAATGCAAAACTATGCATTGAGTGCGCACACACACACACACACACTATATACATACATCATTATGCGTGTGTGTCTCTCTATATATATACACATGTAATATCTATAATGTATATACACACATTACAATGTATATACATACACACATACATCATTATGTGTGTGTGTGTGTATATATATATACACATATAATATCTATAATGTATATGTGTGTGTGTATGTGTGTGTCTTCTATTGGTGGTATTTCTCTAGAGAACTCTGACTAACATATATTTTATGTCATACTTAGAAAGACCTTCCCCATTCTGAGATGATTAAAATGGTTTTCTGTCATAAATTTTTTCACCCTTTTTATGGTTTCTTTCTTTTTTTTTTTTTTTTTTTACTGTTCAAGGCTTCACCCATTTGTTTTTTCTTTTGGTGTGAGATATGACTAAGAATACAACTGTATTTTAGTCCCAAATAAGGAAATGCAATTTTGATTTGTAAATCTGGCATAAATAGAAAGTAATGAGACTGATTTTATTACACAGTTTGTAAACTGGCTCATTGAGCAACTATAAAAGAAAAGTTTTAACACACTTTAGAGAATTCAAGCATCTTTGGGGAAAATGTATCATTTTTTTGAGAACTACTTTTGAAGGACAAAACTCACTCAGATATAGGACTCCTGAAGTGTTTACTTAAAAAAAGGAAAGCCAGTAACGCAACAATACTACCTCCTATATCAAATTCTATTGCCACAGGCATTGATCCGGGGCTGAGGAAGATGTTTTGCCTATGAGTCTTTAATATCACTGTGTACCTTCTGACTTTGGTTTTGCATCAAAGTGACAGCTCGACTCAAAGCACTTGGGAACTCACACACAGTATTTCATTCTGCCTTTTTTTGAATCCTAACATGCACTGTGAAATCCCTTTGGCAAAAGACAACTTGTAATCCAATGGGAAGATTACTTACTGGGTCAAAGTCCTCAAGGTACTGATTCAAGAGGTATGACTACTCCTTTGGTGAATGTAACTTGTTCCAAAGGCAGTCTGAACATTGTAAACACTTGAACATTGCGGGACTGATTTTCCAACAAGGTAAAAAGAAAAACCCAATTCTATAGCTGTACAAAAAAACTATTCACAGGGTTTACAGTCAGATCTTTTGTTTGAATTCAAAGCCAAAAGCTAACTTTAACAGGTGTGGTTTCCTCCCTAAACTATTTGACATTGTCACAGGAATCCTTATTTCAGGAGGGAAAAAACAGGACTCAAATCAAGCATGATTTGAATGTAATACATTTTAAATAACTGAAAACTAGCACAAATGGTTAAGGAACGTACTATTTCAAACCCCCAACCCTACCGTAGGTTGAAAATAGTACAAAACTTGCAATATTTAAAACAGTACATGATGAAAGATGCAAAAAAATCACAAAAACTAGAATTGGGGGTATTTCCATGTTAACAGGGCTTGAACCCGATCACGTCAGAGAGAGGAATTGGTACGTAACTTAACAATTTTGCTCTTCAAAGAAATGAACTAAAGAGAACGTCTCTGGAAGGATCTACAAGGAACTGGTGGACTTCAGGGGAGTGGGTCCGGGTGGCTACAGAGTCAGAGTTAGGAGGGACATTTATCTTTCACTTCGTATCAGAAACAAAAATGATTTCGGAAGAAGTCATTTGAGGAACTAACAATCAGCAACAACAGACAACCAAAAAGAAAGGTCGTTGGGGCGCCTGGGTGGCTCAGATGGTTAAGCACCTGACTCTTGATCTTGGCTCAGGTCATGATTTCATGGTTTATGAGTTCGAGCCCTGTGTTGGGCTCCACACTGACAGCGTGGAGCCTGCTTGTGATTTTTTCTCTCTCTCCCTCTCTCTCTCAAAAGAAATAAATAAACATTAAAAAAAAAAAGTGTTGCTGAAGATTGGCTAAACTGTCACGGACAAGGGACACCATTGACCACACCCTATGACTTGGCACTCCAGCCGTCCTTGACTTCCGTGCACAGGGCGCTCCTCTGGCTCTCCCCCTACGGCTCCGATGTTCCTCCGTGGGCTGCCGTGGGCTGCTCTTCTTCGCTCGCCCATTAATCCCCACAGCTCTGCCAAAACCATCCTCAGTGGTCCCCTCGGTGCCCCAGACCCCTCGTCTGGACAACGGGATCCACTCCCATATCTCTCCCCAAGCTTCAAAAGGTGTAACCCAGGGCCTCACGAGCTCAGTTCACGTGCCCTATAGGCTTCCCAGTCTCAACGCGCCCACTTCCAAGTGCATCTAAAAGGCAAGCGAAGACTTCGGGAGGCCTCACGGAGCACGTGCTCCACGTGCGGCCGTGCTGGGACAGGCTTACCTGATGTGGGAGACAGAAGAGTCAGCAGGAATCTGGGCATCTCCAGAA